TGGTGGGGATTGTCGAGGCCAGCTCTCTCTGTTTTCTGGAGAAGGTCACCAGCATGTCCTTGGTCTTGCTGACGTTCAGTTCCAGCCGGGAGGCGTCACACCACTCAACAAACTGCTGCATGGCGGGACCATAGTGTTGCGTGGAGCCGGAGAGCAGAGACACTAGGACAGTGTCGTCAGCGAACTTCACCAGGTGGCTGTTGGGGTGTGAGGACCTGCATTCATCCGTGTACAGGATGAAGAGCAGTGGCGAGAGCACGCAGCCCTGTGGGGAGCCTGTGGAGGTGGCGAGGAGGTCAGACAGGTTGTTGTTGATCCTGACTCTCTGTACGGTGCGTGAGGAAGTCTAGGATCCAGAGGATGAGTTGGTTGTTCGGGGAGAAGTTCTGCTTGAGCCTCTGTGCCAGGATGTGAGGCTGCAGGGTGTTGAAGGCAGAGGAGAAGTCAGCAAACAGAAGCCTGGCCAGGGTATTGGCGAATTCCAGATGTTTGTGGATGGTGTCGTTGATGAAGGCTTTGGCATCGTTGACACCTTTGCCTGCCTGGTATGCAAATTGGAGGGGGTCGAGGCGTGAGCTGGTCTTTGTGAGGATGTACTGCTTGATAATCCTCTCCATGGCTTTCATCACGTGGGAGGTGAGGGCCACAGGCGGAGGTCGTTCAGGGTCTTGGGGTTATTGTTCTTGGTAATGGGGGTAATGGTGGAGTGCTTCCACAGTTTAGGGACGGTGGCGGTGTTCATGGAGGACTGGAATAAGAGCTGGAAGACGCTCCCGAGCTGGTCAGCGCAGTACTTGAGGACCCGGCCACTGACGTTGTCCATGTCCACATATAATATTTTGAATCCAAGTTTTTCAGAAATAACAGCCAGAGTTATTCATTAATTATCACACGTACCTATTTTGCAAATCCACTTGAGAAAACAGGTCTTCTAAGTGCTTGTAACAAAGAATGCTCGTCGACACTGACGTGAAATTCATTCTTGTTGCGAAAACAAAACTGTCGTTCCAATTTTCCGGTGCATTTACATGCCCTATTCTTTTCTTTTGGCCACTCAAACAACCGGTTGCCTGAATGGGAAGAACCCTGGTGTAAACATATTGTTTTTAACTTTCCTCAGGTAATCCCTTCTTTGGTAATCAATTTGTATGGAACATTCTGTACTGTTAACTGTATGACTGTTTTCTTTGCAAAAGTACGAATAAAACAATCAACAAAGACAAATTGAGAACTACTCAGTATTTAAATCAGTAATAAATTTGTTTCTTCAATCTATTATCTGCTTCAAATTCAAATTTCAATATCTGAACACAGCTCCATTAACATTGTCGAATTTGAACTGTATAGTTATTTAACCCTCAATGAATGGGTTTTGAATTTCCTTGAAAATGTTACCTCATTTTCAGCCTTTCTAAAGGTCAGTGTAGTTTTTAACCTGCTGTACTATCTGATGCACATTGACAAAAAATTAAATGTGCCAATATCCAAACGTGCCAGTGCCTTTAGGGATGCGAGGGCCCTTTACAGCTACGATGCAGCTCTAGTTCAACTATGTTTTTATATTGTCGATGAAACAGAAAATATTTTCACATTCTGTATACACTGTCGGGCAGGATTAAAAATGGTACTGCTATCATCATTGTAATGTGCATACCTTACGAATGGTAGAGAACCGTGGCTAATGAGAGGCTGCTGAGGGACACAGTGTGTAAAGTCAAAGGTCATGACAGCTGTAGATTCAGTCAAAGCACGACATGGATACTCCCACAGAGGGTGGGGCTCTGCCTCGCGAGACTCCTGGAAATCCAGTGACTTCTGAAAAGACAGAAGAGCATTTTGGTAAACCCTATAATAAAGGGAATAGCGATTATTTTACATCAAATGACGATCTCAACAAGCATCACTACTTACTTTTCAGTCATGCAGTCCAATCATAGCTATCAGTGTAGTTATGGATGGCTGAGTACCGATACCTGTCTATTTCGGTGTATGAGTGACTTGTGATGGCGGCTGATACCAGTCACCGATACCAAGACGCCCTCTTGTGGTGGTTTTACTTTTGTTCATTTATTCCCAAAAAATCCTCAATTTAGAGTTTGTGGTTTGTTTTAATTTAGACTTCAGTTCCCTGTTGTAGAGTGACTGCTCTGCCCCTTTGTCAGAAATAAACAAAATGACTATCTTTAAAATTATCTTGAGCAATTCGGATAATGGATGGATTTATGGTTTAATAGAAATTTTATGCATCAGAAGTACTATTGGTATTGTGTACTTGATACCAGCAGTGGTGAGTACTCAAGAGTTGAGTACTTATTCTGGTATCAGCCTGAAAAAAAAGTGGTATTGTAATGTGAAAATGTTTAATTTTACCTGGATCATTTCATCCATGGGTGTGACATCAAATCCCTCACATGTAACACAAGGAGCACGTATCCTCCATAAATCCTAGCAAACAAGAATAATCACTGACATGTCAACACAATCCTCAAGTGACCCTTTCAATATCCATCCATCTTAAAGTCGACCACCGCACAGTCACGGTTTGGCAGCCGCAAATTCATGTCTAGCTGCTTTTGTATTTATTGATGATGTGAATGCTGACAAATGCAGCAGGATGAAATCTCAAGTGTTGCGGGCAACACCATCAGCTCCAATTCAGCCAAATGCTTCAGAAGCCATTGGACGGCGTGCCACAGTGCAGATGGACAATGACCTGAGGCATTATGCGAAAGGAACACATTTCGTTTTTGAAGGCAGAGAAGTAAAATAATAATATACACTCGCCTGACCTGAATCCAATAAGCACGTATTTCACTGCTGATGACAAAACTGTAGGGAAAATGCCCCAAGAACTGAAAACAGTTGCAGTAAAGGCATGGCAGAGCCAGTCCCGCCTTGACCAACGGGGCTTGCCTGGGTGGAAGCACAGGGGGGCCGACGGTACAATCCGAATTAGCCGAAGTCAACCCAAACATTGTATTGGGTGCAGCACTCGTCTAAACACAACACCCTGATTTATATCATGCATGTGGAATATGAGCTAATCAGTAAGATCCACCCATTTTTGTCTGTGTCAGGGGGCGGCCATTTTGCCACTTGCTGTCAACTGAAATTGACATCAAAACGACCAATCGTGGCTCAGCTTCAGAAAACAGATAAGCCGTGGGGCCCCAACTCTCACAGGTGACAGATAATGCCTCCTACTCAAAATGCTCATTGACAGACTGCGGTCAGGCCACGTTCAAAGACAAAGTCAAGCCAGCCACCAAATTGATTGTTAATATGGAACATGCCCCCAACGGTTTGTTTGGGCACATTCAAAATAAAAGCTAAACGACTAAACAGTGCTTTGGATTTGAAATATCCTCTCTGCTGTCAGGTAACCAGTTCACCTTGGGAGAATGCAAACTGTCTCAGGATTGCACACAAAAACATTCTTTAAATTTGGAAAGAGACGTTAACTTTAAATCTGCATCAAGGACTGCAATAACAACTGATTTTAAAAAAGAATTTGAAACTCACATTTTATTATCCCACAACCAGACAGGACACTAAACAACCCCAGGTATCCAACCAAAGTAATCTCACATAAATCGGAGGTTGTATTTCAAAATACAAATTCGACATTCTACAACTTCAACAATTAGTATATCTCTGATTTAAAAAAAAAAAAAATCATTAAAAATTCAAATGTTATCCCGCAAACAGACCAGTTGTATGGCACACTAGACTACCCCCAGGTATCCAGCAAAAGTACTTTTATTCAGATCTGATGTTGCAACAATGTGGTCCGGTAGCGGCGGGTGATTGTACTGCAGGCAGTAAAATTTGGTTACAATCCATGATGCACCGGGAAAAATTAAAGTAAAAGCATGCAAAAACAAGAACATTACAAACTTTCATAAAGTACCTGGAACTCGACAGCCACCATGTGAAGAGTGGCGGAGCAGGGCAGGATGGTGGCATTGGGTCGAAGAAGGCCTGCAAGGGTGGTGCGGCAGTACCAAAAGTACAGTGAGTGCCAAGGTAGGAGGCTTGTGCAGAAGTACGGTTCACCTATCAGCAGTGAAATCTGAAACAAAGAGAGGGTGCTTACTTCAATGTGATAAAGATTGAGGAGTGCACATCTCAATTTCGGTGTGGTTTTCAAATATGCACTCGAGGTTGTTTTTTGGTACTTGTTTTTTTTTTTGGATGAATTTAAAGGCATACAACAAATCTGGGAAAAGATGGGCCTACTTCGCGGATTTTCGTCTATCGCGGGTGGTCCCGGTCCCCATTAACCACGATAAGCGAGGGATCACTGTATGTCATTTTGATGCAACTGATTCACATTTTTCACCAGTTTTGAATTTTAATTCATTACAACAAGCTATACCAGGGCTATAAACTGGTGATACAGTTTACTGCTTTATTTAAAAAAAAAAAAAAAGGTGGGGGTGTCGAATTCATGTTTAACACAATTGAGTTAGCATGTTGGTATAGCTCTCGGTAACCGTTTCAGATTTGGCAGTTTCGAAAAACTAACTGCCACCAGGACTGATAATATGAGACCAAATGAGATCGCTCACTAACTGAGCAGTTCAGGGCAGCGCTTCCAATCTTTTTTGCACCACAAACCACTTTCACATATTTTGACTGTTGAAGATGGGCCGCAACAAGACCGAGATGACGGTCCCGTTGAAGGTGTCCCCGTGTTTGGCTCCCGCTGCCGCAACCACCACTTGAGTTTAGCCACCGTTTTGGTGAGTTCCAGCAAAGTCAAGCCAGCCACGAAAACTGTCATTTTTTTATGTAGTCAATTGTTCAAGCCCAAGACACAGGCGCGCATCGTCAGTTCAATTTTGTGCTGGAGGGTCTCATATTATTTTGGGCTTTTTTAAAATTGCCATATGCATTTGTATAAATAAATTGTGAAAAGTTAGGACTATTTGCTACGACAACTGTCTTGTCCACGGTGTCTTCTGTTCGTTCCACTGGGGTTTAGCAAGTGTGTTTATAAAGAGACGAAAATCTCTTTACTGTTACTAGTGTTAGTGTTTCAACACGGCTACGCTCGTGAAAGCAAAACAACAAACTCAAACGCGTCTTCGTTCAATGTTGTCAACTAATATCCGGATTAATTTTCGTCAAATTTTCCTCAATTCTCCGGACAGATTTTCATAGAAATTTGAAAAACCCGGAAATCCGTGAAAATCCGGAGGACTTTCATCTCTGTAGATAAGAGTTCTCCCTTGATCTCTCTTGCTCTCTCTTCGTCTCCCTCTCCCTCCCTGTGCTCTGAAACTTCAAGAAACTGCGCCACTTGGCATTGAAATGCCTGTCAGTACAAGTCCAAATGATATGAATGCAATCATTCACATCGAACCTTAATTAAGTGTGTACCAACTTTCGGCAGGCCGGATTAAAAAGACCAACGGGCCGGATCCGGCCCGCGGCCCATAGTTTGCCCACCCTGCCCTAGACGCACTCGCTACAGGTCGACAAAAAACAAATTAGCTAACGATGCACACTGGCCACTCATCACTATTTACATACACTTCGACTAAAATTTGAAGACGCACATTGGGCAGGAGGATTCATTCATGATGCTTCGCTATGTTGTGGCGCTGCTACCGATATGCTTTATCAAAGAGAAGCTAATTGCCGAGCCATTCACTCTCAGAGATGCTGAATACACAATTAACAATAAGTGGTAACCGTTTGAAATTCTATAACAGTTTAAACCATGCAATATAGAATGCTTATAGTCATGATGATATTTTAGGAATTACATCAAGAGTATCGTCGCATTGGTGGTAAGGAAGGGTACCTGCTCTCCTCCTAAATCTTGAAGGGTCAGCTGCTCAGGCTTGATGTCCAGCAGCTCAACTTGTCCACCCAATGAGTTTGCATCCAGGACCTGGTGATAAAATGGGGGGGCATCAGCACCATTTTTAAAGCTGTGAACACAGGGGAATAGAGTATCTACAATCAAATATGATACATTCCTGGGATCCAATAGTTTCTGGAGAAAAAAACCCAATACCAAGCTCAAAATGTCACAATCAACTGATACAGACACTGCACGGGTCTGTAGTGATGAAGACGGAGATGAGCCAAAAAGGCCCAGTTCTCGATTTAACAGTTGATCTACTTTCCCACTCAAACCTAAGGTCACAAGTTGTGGTTCTTGACTGATGTGAAATGATGACGGGTACATGCTCCTTGAAGGAAATTCAGGGCAAAGGGGCAAGAAAACCCCTGCTTCTCTCCAGAATTGTCTGAGGTCATTCATCAGTGAAATGTGGCATACACCAAAGCCAGAAAAGGTGACTCTGATAGTGATTTGTCTATTGTTAGACGATTAACTCAATGTACTTCTCCAACTAAAAAGGCTAAATCAGAATTTTATTTACCTGTCACAATCAATCCTTAATAATCCATAGACATTTTGGAACGTCTTTATCTGTAAACAAAAGCCCTACAGGTTTTTCTTTTGTTTTACAAGACGTTTAGGCGTGTTTTATCCCAGTACGTGATAAAACTGAGATCTTAAAATGCTTTCACAATCACTTTGTGTCATCTGTTTCTTTATTTTATTCGACAGGAGCAAATGTTTTCTGGTGAACATTTTAAAACATTTGTACCTTTTACTGTGCAACAAGTTAACAAGGCTCTCGCAACTCTGAACCAAAGAAAACCAACTTGGCCAAATTTTATAGAGCCTTATTTTTTCCAAAATGGCTGATGATTTTATTGCATAGTCTCTTTCAATACTTTTTAATCTATTAGTTCAAAATGAAGGAATTCATTCAGTTTGGAAGTCAGCTTTTGGTGTCCTCCTAAAAGATGTTCTGCGGGTACTCCGGTTTCCTCCCACAATCAAAAGACATGCTTGGTTAATTGAACACTCTATATTGTCCATCGATGTGAGTGTGAGCGTGAATGGTTGTTTTCTGTCTGTGTGTGTCCTGTGATTTATTAGCAATCAGTTCAGGGTTGACCCCGCCTATTGCTTGAAGAAAGCAGGCATAGGCTCCAGCATGCCCACGACCTTCATGAGTATAAACAGCTTGGATAATGGATGGATGGAGCGACTCCTGACATGGACAATAAAGTTCGATCATATTACCCCGATACTAGCCAACTTGCATTGGTTCTTGGTCCACTTGAGATGCGATTTAAAGGATTTGCTACTGAATTATAAAGTATTACAAGGATTAGCACTTTCCGATCTTATTGATTTCATATGTTCCATCCCAAACTTCGTTCACAATACAGTGGTACCTCTACTTACGAATGTCACTTCATACGAAATTTTCTAGTTACGAAACACCTCAACAGGAAAATATTGCCTCGTTTCGAAAGAAATTTCAAGTTACAAAAAGTAAAAATACAGTATGGGCTGTTACTCATAGCGCCGAGTTTCCCGAACGCAACATACTTATAGCTGCTCTCCCATTGGCTACTACCGAGCATCTTCCTGGCATCCCATTGGCTAAGAGGGACCTCTACCGCATGTGTCTACATGTGTAGATAGATAAATAGATATGTGTCTATGCTGTGTCCTCGTCACTCGCCCCATGAGGCGTTCCGATAGTTTTACGTAAATGTGAATAACCCAGAAAAAGGGTTCACCGCAATGAGGGGCGATCACTCACTATGCTGATGTTTGCCTTGGACATTTTTGAAGGAGTGTTAAAAGCCGACAAAAGCAAACGTCCTTGGTTCAGTTCTTCACAAAACGCCAGGCAAAAACCACTCCTGAGAGAGAACATGAACTAAAGAGGGCAAAAAATGATGAGGACGCAGTTAAAAGTAAATAAACACAATTTTTATTCTCTATTCTTTGTTTTTTTACATTATGCACAATTCTCATTTATTGTGCAATAACCTTGTAACATGTATTTGTTATATATTTTGATGCATTTTTAGGCTTTAGAAAACATTTAGGTCTGAATTTTGTGGGGGTCTTGGAACGGATTAAGGCATTTACATAGAAAACATTTCTCTACTTTTTAAATTTTCTCGTTAAGAAATTTCTTTCAGAACCAATTAATTTCGTAAGTAGACGTACCACTGTACACTGGTCTTTTAGTGATTCAGAGAGCCAAAAAGAAGTCCGCAGATTCTACAGTGTTTTCTATTCGGGCTCCAGTACTCTGGAATACCCTTCAGACAGAAATTCCAGCCGCCGCCTCAATAAAAATGTTTAAAATTCGACTTAAGAGTCATTTGCAGAGGTGGGCATTACGTCATACTGATGGTAAGCTTTTCAGTCCATCACTGCTTCTGTCAGTATTTCAAGCCGACCTACGTGGGCCCAGTCAGTCCCTCAACAGCGACAGCCAATCAGCGTCGGGAACGTAATTTCCATGTCACACACAGGTGCCACACAAGCCAATACGCAGTCCAATAATGAAAATGAAATTACAACAACAACAACAACAACACACACACACACACACACACACAGACACACACACACACACACGATCTATGGGACTGAAAGGCATACAATTTTGTGTTTTTCTGTATTTGGCTGCGTGTCAGTTGTCGGGCACCCGCACGTGACATAGCACCTTTAAGTCAATTTTTGGACGGACTTGGCCGGCCTGAAATACTGACGGCAGCTCACTGATGGGATCACCGGACTGACGATGCCAAACTATGCTTATATACTCTTGGATTTAGTTAAACGACATGTTGGCCTGTTTGACTGCTGCTGCTTCTTTCTCCACCCCATCCTCCCGGGTTTGGAGAGGGGGCTAGGTGATGATAACCAATTAAATGTAATCGTACAGATTCTGTTCCGACTGATCTAGTCAAGATCTGAGGTGGACCACCTCCTCAGAGGCACTGCTATGGAGCTTTTCTCATTGACCAAGCGTACGGGGTTTTAGGAGGACATCTTCCTGCAGTGCTTTATCTCATTAAATGGACTGTTACATTTTTCTAACTAACATTGTATAGCACCATATTGTGTTAAATGTTGCACACTCGGCATCCACTGCAGCCTGGTCATCTTGGAAGAGGGATTCCTCCATCTGCAGATGTCTGGAATTCCCTATCCCTATTTAAGATGCTGCAAACCACAGCCTAAGCCAGATCATTGGAAGATGGATGCAAAAGAATAAAGATACACTTGTGGATCTGAACTGCAAATGCCTCCTAAATTGAAGTCTTGATGGTGAGTTTTCTTTCCCCCAGAAACATTTTGGCCAAATTCTCCAATCTACAACTCCATTCAAGAGCATTCAAACTTTTTAGGTTCTATTGCACTTTTTTTTTTAACATGTGCTAAGATTACCTGCTCAATAACCTGTTTCGTCATTGTGAAGTTTTCCAAACTGAAGACCTGTAAATATTTAATTAGTAAAGCTGATAGGTCAATAACCAAAAGAGAAAATTGTAGAGGAGGCAACAACAACAGAAGTAGTATACCTTTTTGGCTCCCAAAAGATGTGCAAACACAGGAAGAAGACTTCCATCACTTACTCCGAGACAAACGCTATCCTTCTTTAGAACCTGGAGTGAGCACAAGCACTTTAAAAGAAGTACCACACATACAAGTAATACAAGACAGTTCAGTTCACTTACACTGTGCAGTGCATTGATGTAGCTCTCTGTGCGAAATTTGTCATTAAGTTCACCAAATCGTGGTCGATTCCAAACCAGGTGTGCCTGGCATGTACAGGACGGCCGGGAGAGAATCCTGCTGTCCTGTGAATGTTGTCGGCTGAGAACAGCCGCAATATGGACAGTCAAAACTTGGGTGGTGACAAAAGAAGCAAAACCCACATATGTTTGATATACTGTGTGTGTGTCTCACGCACGCACACATCAAAACAACTAAATATAAATATAATAAATATAAATAAAATATTGACATAAATAACTTCATGACACATTTAATTCTGTATCTAATTGGCACTCTTGGTCCTCCATAGTGGCAATCCCTGACAGGGAAAAACCAAAAGTCATTTTTGTCACAGCATTAATAATTCATCCATCCATTTTCCGATCCGCTTATCCACACAATGATCGGGGGTGTGCTGGAGCCTATCCCAGCCGTCTTCAGGCAGTAGGCGGGGGACACCCTGAACCGGTGGCCAGCCAATCGCAGGGCACACACAGATGAACAACCATCCACACTTACGCCACACCTAAGGACAATTTTGAGTGTTCAATCAGCCTGTCATGCATGTTTTTGGAATGTGAGAGGAAACTGGAGTACCCGGAGAAAACCCACACAGGGAAGAGAAGAACATGCAAACTCCGCACAGGAAGGCCGGAGCTGGAGCATTAATAATCTATGGCTAAATTATGTTATACCTGAGAGGCTTGAGGCTGTACCACAGACTGAAGTCATCGTGGTAGACAGTGAGACTCAGATCTTGTCCTTTAGTCACCTTGCACTCAGCAGGCAGGAAGTAAACACTCTGCATCCAATGGTCTCGCCACTAACACAAAAACCACACAGTGTTGAGCACACATGACAGCCCACATTGAGACATCCTCACAAGACCAATTTAACTTACTGGGGCCATCTTTGGCTGTGGATATGTCCAGCTGGGAGCCATGGTACACACAATGGTTCCACTGGGATCCATATCCAGGTCCCACCAGGAGAGCACCACTTGAGCCAGACCATTGGTCTGAGCCACAAACTGAGCGGAGTAGGACTGCGGAGCACTGCTTACAGGCTTACTGAAGTCCACACTGATTGGCAAAAGTTTCATGTAAAAAAAAAAAATTAATTAAAAAATTAAAAAATTGACTGAAATTTTATGGCAGGAGAGATGTTTTCATACCTGAACATGGTGCAGATCGGACTCAGAGCAGTAAAGCTACTGGGTGAAATCTGGCTGAGCTGAATGTCACAAACTGAATGAGTGCCGCTGCAGTTGCCCATAGCAGGAGGGGGCAACAATTGGTTACCCTGCACCTCTATCGGCTGCAGCTGAGCCCAGCTCCGTAACAGCTGCGACTCCACCAGTTGAGCATAGACAGTGGCCCGGTGAGGGACTGCCACACAACCCTCCTAGAGGGAGGAGAGAAAATGGAGTCTCTATATTCACTTTCCAAGTGGCTACCTTGTGAACCGGGATTTCACGCATCTGTACATGCGGGAGTAAACTGGATGGGAAGAGCCGCTGCCCGCGGTGTCATCTGTCTGATCATTGATCAGAATCAGAATCTAATTTACTGGCGAAGTATGTTAAAAAAAAAAAAAAAAACACAAGGAATTTACTTTCCCAGTTACAACTCGTCCAGCGGAACACAAACAAAACAATGACCAAAGGGGGGGACAGAACGGAAAGCCTGGCGGTTCGCTGTTGGGCGCCCTGCTATCTTCAATGTCAAAAGAAAACAATAGGGAAGAAGAGAGGGAAAAAACTGACAAGACTCCAACCATTCTCCATAAGTGCTTTGAGCCAGAGGAAAAAAAAACTCAGCACATGTAGCATACATTAAAAGTACAACAGATCTCAAAACATAACACGTTAGCGCCTCCAGCAGAAGAGTCTCAGAGTGAAGCTGAAGCCTGTACGAGTCAAGTGAGAGCCGCCTTCTACGCCACCAACAAAAGCCTCTTTTCCTCTCTGAAGGCAATGTTGATGAATGTAATTACTGTATAAGGTTTTATGATTGAAGATTTAAGTAAATATGCGTACTGTCGTAGTCTTGTCTCAAATATGTAAATTTAAAATACTGTTTACAAATTTTAAACATGCTGGTAGCTGTGATGTTTCTTGCTTGCAAAAACATCACCTTTTCTGCTTAGGCTCTCGATGGAGGCGGACGTTTTTTTGCTTTGCTCCTGTTCCCTGATTGGCTGGAGCACTCCTATGCTGAGCTGCTCGCCAGTCTGATTGTTAAGCGTTCCCCCACTCCCCTTCACTACACAATAATTCATATTTGTACAAGTGAGACACATAAAATATGTCCTGATTTATAATCCAGCATGTTTTGTTTTCTCTATTTAAGCGATGTACATTCCCAGTAATTAATGCACAGTGTCCAAGTATATTTTGTGGTCTAAAATCATACTGCCCAAATTTGTTTTCATACAGTTGTTCAAATATGGCACTGCACATCATTTGAATGAGTAGTTGGGATGCTCAAAGTTCATTTTCGAGAGTTTTCGTCATATTTTAATTTGTTTAGAAAGATTTGGGCTATATAGTAGAAAATAAGAATGAAGCACATTGGCAATGTTAACTTGAATTGAAAATGACAACAGACCTGAACAAGATTCTGGTGAGCATGTTCATAGCTTGGCAAAGCCCCTTCACCAATCAGCTCTGTATCAAATAGCTCTGTGATGAGGACATTGGCCTTCATTTCCATATCATCACCTGATATTGATCACAAACAATACATCTGATCACCAAAAGGAAACAACATTGAACTTGAAAGACACAAGACATTGATGAATGCAGCACTCACTGGCCAAATCTTAGAAATACAGTAATAAATGTTGATCGGAGTATTCAAATTTCTTTACAACCTGGCCCGACAGTAACATCAGTGGAATGTTTGTTGATAATCTTGATCTTGTCAGAGAAGCCATTTTTCTCCACAATGCACTTGGCGGCGTCAGCCATGGGCTTGAAAACCTGCAGACAAATATTGTATTAATAAGACTGGTCAACACATTTTTACTTTTTTTTTTTTCTTTGGAGATGCAATTAAACTGTCAATTATTTTTTGGGTGCTTATTCCTAATGTAACCTTGTTTTTTTCCCAAGCACATCAGGTTTTCATAATAATAGCAATAATAATAATAACAATGACTCTCTGCAATATAATATTATAATATAGAAAAATATTTTTAAAACTTTTCATAATATTTATGAATTTAAGGGACAGGTTGAGCAACATTTATTTATTTTAAATACAGCCATACCAGCACTCATATTGTAAAAAGACGCGTTGCTTCATGTTGATGTGCAAGAGAGGTTTCCCTGCATGCCGAACAAAGAGCTGACGTGTCTCATAGGGTTGTATATGCCCACTCAAAGAAGGCGTGTGATTGGTTCCCGGCGCGACATCGACAAATGAGACCACGAGTGAATTTATCCCGTGAACTGATAGGCTGTGTATCATTGCCAGTCAGTTGACTGTCTCGCATTCTGTGTCTTAGTGTTGCATTTGTGATAACCAATTGCCTGATTCAATTTAAAATCACTGTGAAGTTTAAGACCCAGGTTCGAGACTGTTGGCTTTAGAAAAGGCGCCCAGGGACCAAGTCAGCAGGATGGGATGTACAAGAGCCACTGAGATTAAACACTATCACTTTTTTTCTTTTCACTGAAATTCAAAAATTTCAGTGCCATCCAAGTCTTGATTTCCTTCAGACAGAATAAAAGTGGCTGGAATGAGAAAGCGTCTTTTTTGCTCAGCGGGACACGGATCTGACAGTCATCCCATAAGAGTGGAAGGAAATGCCATGTTTCGTTGAGATGGAACACAAGGGGAGCAGATACTATGAAAACAGCAGAGGCCCCAGAATTGAATCCTTTGGCACGATGAGGCATACCATACGACAGGTGGGCAGTTCGTGAGACAAAGCAACCAAGGCTAACACAAAAAGTTCTGTGTGCCAAATAGGATCTAAACCACTCAAGGGCACTACCACTAATGCCCACCTGGTGTTGCAAATAAACCAACAGAATATTATGATCCACCGTATCAAACGCTGCAGTTAAATCCAACAATACCAGACACACATAGTCTCCAGTACAGTCGAACCTCGTTTCAACATACCCCGGTTACATTTCCACCCGTATAACGTTCACATTTCAAAGTCCTGATTTCATGTAATTCATTTTCCATTTGCTGAGTTTGCTTGTCGTTAAGTGTCATTACAATGACCATACTTCCCCCACCAAATAAAGAAAAGGCCTTCGTTCCAACAAATCGTGTACAGACAAAATGTATCGTGCACTCCCCTCCGTTGCTTAGCAACGCTACCGATTGTCCCGGCAGGCACATTTTTGCACACATGGTCTAAAAACACATCTGGTAAACGGAAACAAATCTCGCTATCTGTGAAGGCTGAAATTGTCTCTCACTTACAAAAAGGAGTCTCCCAGACTCAGATCAGCAGAGACTACGAATTGGCCAAGTCGGCGATTTTGACAATCATCTGAAATGTTTGTTTCATGTGGAAAAAAAAAAGCTTTTTCTTCTTATTGTATATATGTATTTGTAAGTGACATGTTTATACTGTAATACGTGTTCATTTTTTTTACATCTATAAGTGTTCATACTGCATTATACATTGCAGTTGCCGGCCAATGTATTGGAAATGGTTTCAGTGAACTATCGTTATAACGGACAGATTCATTATGTCACTCAAAGTACGTTGTAATGAGGTTCGACTGTATCACTTGCCAGGAGGAAGTAATTAAAAACTCCGAACAGGGCTGACTCTGTGCTTGCAGTCTTTCCAGATTTGATAAAAACCTGCAGCTTTTCTTTTTTTCCCACTTACGTTTGGCTTTGCAGCTCTCCTGCTTAGCTGGACGAGTTCCGTCATTAAACCAAGGCTCAGGTCTAGCTTTTGACTGCACAATTTTTAATGGAGTCACCGAATTCAGTTTCGCACAGCAGGATGAGTGGAACCAAGGGGTGAGTTCTGCCATGTTTGAAGAGGGAATGCAAAGCTCATTCAAGGCATCAGAGAACTGACCAGCAGAGAAAGGGTTAAAAATCTGGTGGTTGCACTCTGGAGCGGCAGATTTAACAGCAGCACAAGACGACATCATGTGATTGAAAATAACATTGTCCAAGATGTCCAAGTTTGAGACTGGTAGACCATTAGCAAGAGCCCCCTACCAAACCTCGTCCCACCCCAAGTAAATTCCTACTCCTAGAACCGCCACTAGTCCTGACTGATGTTTGTGCCTTTGTACAAAACAGCAATTCAGACTAACCACCCTTCTTTAAGTCCTAGGAGGGAGTGCTGGAGCAATTCTAATGTGGAGGACTGATGACATAGACGAGAGCAGTGGTGTCAAACATACGGCCGGCGGGCCGGAACCGGCCCCCAAGGAGGTTCGATCAGGCCCGCTGGATCATTTAAAAGTGAAAAAATGCATAATGTGCAATGAATATTTTTGACTCTGAGTCCTTGGCATGTGACTCGGACTTGTCCCAGACTTGGCCATTGGACTTGCAAAATATTTATATCGACTCAAACAATATTTATATCGACTCGAACAAGTCCAAATATGTTTTTATTTTTGTTGGTAAACTTGACCGCAAGGGAATCGGGGACAGAAAACCCTGCCGCAGCCATGCATTCATGTTCATTAATTAACTTTGAGTTTGGCACAGTTTTGTTGCCCCCTCTCACTGCCCAGTACCCAATCTCCTCCTTTTTTCTCCCCGGAGGGCGACAACCATGAATAAAGCAACATTGATTTTGACATTTTTTTGGTTATAACTGCGCACACAGTTAATAAAGCAAAGGGTTCCATGCCATCAAAGAAGAAAGTTGACTTTTGATCATAATATTTCTTTCATTTTGTGGTTGTGAAAATTGTATTTTTCAGTCTTAAGGTTTACACTTGACCTCTTCTGGATTTAGACTCTGACCTTGTTGAGTCAGATTTGATTTGGACTCTAACCTGACTTGGACTCGGACCCTTGTGACTCGAAGTTGATTTGGACTCAAGAAAGGTGGACTTGACTACAGTCCTGGTTAGCAGTGTGAGTCAGAGAACACCTTAACGTCAATTTCAGTCAACAGCAGGTGACAATACAGGACAAAATAGCAGCACCCCGATACTGATAAATATGAATGGATTCATCTGCTTCATGTTTACTCCACATATGCAATATTCATCAAAATACCTTGTTTAGACGAAGGGGGTCACATAGAAAATACTCTTGACAAAAACATTTTGGCCTTGAGTTCCTCTTTAAAAGATTAAGCAAAGTGGAAGAAAATTACCTCCACAGCATAGCAGAAGTCAGCTCCAGCACTAACAGCCATCATGGACAATAAGCCAGTTCCAGTTCCAATGTCCAGGACAATCACCTTCTCCCCCTTAGCCTGGACATGGGCCACAGCTGCCCGGATGCCCTGGTAGTACTTTTCATTCTACAGACAGAAAGCACATCCACTTTTTGGTAAGGAAGAGCAATGTGTTCAGAAGAAGAAGAAAGCAACTCAGACAAAGAAACATTGTAAATTACTGTTTTAATAAACAACTAATAAAAAAGAGCCAACACTTTTACTACTAAGGCCATAAGACAGTCAGTGGTCATTACATCTTCACATGAGTTATTAGGAATATATGTGAGGTTTTCTGTCCCCAAAAAAACCTTGAACCTGACAGCATGTGGACCCGTGCTTGAACATCTACAAAGGCTGGAATCCATAACACGATGGTAGAACAGATAACACAATAAAACCACTGAGAATGCTCGTCTCTATAAATGTAGCTCTTAAACTCACTACTTCCTTGCACACATATACAATGGAGGAATACGTATTTCATCATCCACTGAGTTTTCAAACTAAGAAACAAATGAATGGCCTGTGATTTCTGTGGCAGCTTTATTTTAATTTCAAGCAGAGATGAAAGTGGACTTTCCTGAAAATTCCGGAAAAAATAAAAAATTATATATACTGTGTGTGTGTGTGTATATATATATATATATAT